GTCTCCACTGTCCAGGTATTATTTCGCCAGTGTGTTGGTTTTCACAATCAACCAATTGTGCATCATTGAAGTATTGATCTGGTGACGTTTTTCGTAGCCAGTTGTGAATTGCAATGGCAGCACTAACTAGTTTATTCACAGAGGACACTTTTATCTTTACTTTTGTTTCAAAAACACGAAATCTACTTACTAAGATTCCAAAACCATTTTCCACTATTCTTCTGGCACGACTAAGCCGATAATTGAAAATTTTTTCTTCATCGGTAAGAGGTAGTCGGTATCTACTATATGGTTTAAGTAGATAGGGTTTTAGTGGAAAAGCATCATCACCAACTAAAAAGTAAACATCGGGTAGTAATCCTTCTTCTAGAGCTCCTGAGATTTCGCAGTTTTGAAAAGGACCACCATCTGAGTTGGATCCCGTTGTCCCTACTTTAAAATAAGAAAAACAGTAATTGTGATCTACAATTGCCATTAGTACCACGCTGAAGGAACCTTCCTAGTTGAAGTATTCACTTCCAGTATGTGAGGGAGCCTCGATCAAGACATGTTTGCCATCAATGGCACCACAACAGAAAGGAAAATTCCATCTTGCTTCAAACCCATTCGCAACTTTCTTCCATGCATCATGTGTATCAGGAACCTAAAAAATGGACATTATGAGCATATAATTTGTATGATTAATTAATCATTGAGCAAATGAGAAGTATTAAATTAGTATTTCATTCATTTCAGGAGACAGAAATCGCTCCACCTAGCGAAAATGAACAAGGTCTGCTAGAGGAACAAGTCATTGAAGAACCATCTCCAACTCTCTTGCAAACTCCTACAAGACCTTCGACCAGCAAAACATGCTCCCGAGTAGAATCGAGTAGAAGCAGGATCAAAAAATAAAAAACCACGGCTACAAGCCTTAACTGAAGCTGTTGCAGAGGCCCGAAAAGCCCAGGAAACATTAATAACTTCTCAATCCATCAGTGACAATGAAGCTTTTGGCAAGTTTATTGCAGCCAGTTTAGATAAACTGCCCCCTGCTGATTCAATCATGGCGCAAGGTGCACTTCAAAGAGTGATACAAAAATATCGATTGAATGCGTTAAATAAGAGCAGTTCTGCTTCTGAGGCTTCCGCATTAACTGCAATTCAATCACCAACCCTTTCTAGGGATTCACCTCCTGCAACTACTCCTGCATACAGCACTGATCATCCGATTATGAACGAGGACACAGTTGCAAATGATGATGCTGCTATCGCAGATATTATCTCGCAAGCATGGAACTTGACAAACTAAAATGTTACAATTGGATTTGTTTGTTTTTTATTAAGAAGCCTAAATGAAAATTTAAAAAAATAAAAATTTAAAAATGTTCTATTATTATATATTCACATACCTTTACGAAATCCTTTAAGCAGTCGTACACAGCTTGACAAACAATGGGAATCATGATAGATATCGCTGATTTAGAAACTCGGAAGAGATGAGAAAGGGTTCTATAATTATTACCAGTTGCTAGGTAATTTAAGGTTACTTCCAACATTGTTTCTGGTTTGATAGCGTCTCTCATAATAGTGTTCTCTCGTTGGATTAATGGAGTTATCAAGCCTAACAAATAGTCAAATTTTTCAGCAGTCATTCTGAGCATCATTCTGTATTCTTTAGGATCTTAAATTGGTGGAAGCCCCTTGACTTTCTCTACGTGTAAGCCATTCTCGACACCATACCCTTTTTTTAGGATTTCTTTCTTCCTCAAGAATTTCTTCCACTTCTTCCAGGAGAATATTTGTGAGATTAATAACGCAATTTCGTATGACAATACGACTTTCCACCATGTTTTACCTGTCGACTTGCTCATCTACTGGAATACGTGTAAACGCTCTTTCTGGATGATGTGGTGAATCAAGTAAAGTAGAATGCAACCACGCAAGTGCGAAGGCAAGTAGCTTGACCGATTACTTGACCCGTGTAAACCCGTCTTTACTCTCATTTCTAAACAAATTTGATTTCTTAATTTCTTTCACTCCCATGCACAGTATTCACTTAAAAAATAACATAACGTTAATTTGCATGTTCCTAATATCGTTAGTATGACAATGTCACTATGTCAAGGAATAGATTGTATTTTTCAGGTGAAAACCGTGCGTCAGAATAAAAGATTTCATGAATTCAATTTCTTATGTCAACAATATTGTTATGTTTTTATGAAAACCGTGCATCAGATTTAAGATAATCCAAGTGATTTTTGCTTAGAAGTGATTGAAAATTTTAATAAGAGAGAAATCAACGGCATACCATCACTGTCTATCAAAATAGGCAGGTAAAATTAAAAAATGCCTCTTGGTACGTGTACATGTATGGGGCCGTTCAAGTATTACGTAAGCAGATTTATTACAATTATTTACCCTCCCATCCCCCTTGTCAGCAAAAGTAAGCAAAGCTCTTACCCCCTTCCCCCATGCTTATGTAAACATTTTTCAATGAATGTATCGTTTTTTTTAATATTATAATTATAACGTTATAATTATAATTTGAAAAATAAGAAAATAGATTTAGGATAGAGATTATATTTTACTGATACGGTATTCAACATAGAGTAAAGGGCAAAAATATTATATCTTACTAACATAACATGACATAACATCGGATTTTGGAATGTCTACGGAGAACAGGTCTAACTTTCCTATAAGTGTGGGTGTTCACTTTTTTATGAATATTTTCGATGTGACGATTTAGTGACTTGGCGGAAGCATGATAAAGACCACACGTTTTGCATGTTCGACTTGATAGCCTCAATTTTACCGTCGGATAAAAATAATCGTAGGGCATTTGCAGGAAATCTTTGAGTGAAGCACTTAAGCGCAGAGCTAAATTGACTGGAAGATTAATAAATTGCCCTCCTTCATCCAAAACCAAGTCATCAACTGTTTGTTTTACTTTTACAGGTGGTGGAAGAAACCTATTGTCTAGTAATCTAAATAAGTCACTTCTTGGACGACAGTATTCTGTATTTCTACATTTTACAATTTGAAGCAAGTATTGGCTCTCACGCACATGTTCTGAATACCATTTAATGTCTGGAAAATCAGGAAGATCTTGTTCAGCTGCCCCAACATATTTTGCATTAACATTATAGCCATCAACTTCCATTGAACTCCATACTTCAGCTAATACATTTCCTGCAAATTTGAAATTAGATCTTTCTAAATGTTGATCAATTGTAACGCCACGTTCATCCAAATGAGACCCAAAATGGTCATGAGGCAATATTAAACCAGCCAGTTCCCGACTAAGAGGAACCATTCTGCGCTCTACTCTATTATATGCACTTCTTCCATGCATCGAGATCATGTCGCTTAAAAGTGTTGTATAGCAAACCCTAGGACTTTTTGATAACGTGGATTTTCATCTGGCCCTCCGTCAACCGTCATGATTACCACTGGTTTTACTAGTCCATGGTCAGTTTTAGCTAATGGTCGAAACTCTTCAAGTTCGAGAAGCGTCTCGAAATCCTGAGCATGAGTATTAGCAGTAGATGAACTATGCTTTCCACTTCGAATAGCGATGTATGTTGGTCCAGAATATCCAACAGCTTGCGGTTGTCCTAGCAGATTGGAAGTGATTTTGATACCAGCATAAACAGATGGTATTAATTTATGACGCTCAGCGATTACCCAATCGTGATGATCAGGCAATTTGATTCTATATTCCATGTGCATTAGAAGATGTGCTTGCTTATTTGCCGCAGTTACGCCAACAGGGACTCGAGCTTTATCAGCTTGAGATATGAAAAATACTTGACCTGGTCCAAGTATGGATGCTATGTTCTCTAAATAATGGATTGATGTTTCAGCGAACTTGCTATCTAAGTGGCTCTTGTGGTGATCAGTTTGAGCCCGAATGAGCTTAACAGGGACTGTCGTTCCTCTGCAGAATTAGATTGTCTGAGAGTCAAACGAAGATATGTCCCACTGCGACTAATGTCGCATCCTATTTTACGTAATTCTTATGTGAGTTCATCAAGAGTTTTTACGCTGCGAATTGATTCCGTTCGTCTTCTATGATCTGCTGCACTCCCAAATAAAGCTATATCCGCGATTTTTTTCAATAGTGTATTTTGATTGCTTTCAAGATTAGGACGTCCCACTGAATCCCTCAGAGATAGTATTTTTTTTATTTCTGGATTTTCATGACAAATATCTTCTAACTTTCTTTTCATATCATCCCGATGTTTCTTCTGGGCAACTGCGTTTTGAACTTTCCTGTTTAAAGACTGTTTTGCTATTTTTATTTCCTCGCGCAACTTAATGATCTGTTTATCAACTTCAGCACGGCTTGGCATAGTATCTCTGGCAGAATACAAAGCATTCAGATTTTTTTCGATTAGAGCAATCTTATTTTTCATAGCTTCCTGAGAAGGTTTTGCTCTCTGTTTGTTTGTATTTTCATTAATTTCGCATTGCTGTTGTGATTCATTACCGGGATTTATTTTATCTTCTTCCACTTTTTTAATATTCGAAGCTGACCTATATAATTTGTGTTTTTTCTGCAGGTTTACAGGTTGCCTAAAAATTAAAACTTTCTATGACTTCTGCTAAATATTCTCTTATTATGCTACATAAATCGTCCCTTTAGATCAGAACTAGCCTATGTCCATTTTTGTCAAAATTGAGATTTTAGACTATATGATGCAGTAAGGTGTCGCCTATCAAGTGCAGTACTAATCTAAGTCCTAACGTTTATATTTTTCACGTACTCATTAAATTAAGAATAAGCCTATGTCCTGAAGCAAAATAATTGTTAGTGCAGAACTATCCTTTTTTAGAACAGAAATTCTATGTCCATATTTGGGTAAATAATTTTTAATGCAGAAGTATCCTTTGTTGGGACAGATTACCTATACTAGTGAATTGTGTGGACTTAAGCTAGTTCTACTTTGAAACAAAATTTTATGTCCAAGAAAATGTGGACTTAGGCTTATTCTGATCTATAATTTTAATAAACCCTCACATCTTTTAGTGGACATAAACTAGTTCTGCACTGTACTGGTTTCGACTTGTTAGAAATCTAGGCATTTCAAGGCGCCACCGTACACGAATAACGCAGATTACCTCAGTTTAAAGCAGTTCTTAGTGTATAGTGATCGAGTTTGCGCAACGTAAACAAATTAAATATGAGTTCTAGAAGGAAAAAAATTTTTGATCTTCTGGCCAGGCACTGTGATGGTAAGTAGTGCTTTTCTAGCTATACAAATATTCTTAAGTAACACGTTAACATTGGAAATACGTTTTTAGCTACTGGTTCAGGATAAATTTTATTTATTTTTTTAATTGTATAAATAAAAAAACAAATAATACGATCTACACTCATAAAACTCTGTACTGAATAATGTTTACTTTATTTTTTTATAGATACCAATCATGACAAACTAACAGTATCTGCAAGACCAGAAAAAATAGACGCCCAATATTTGATGAATACAGCAAACCTTATGCCGCCTGGTTATTTACTCTCTAAGGAAACGGCTGCTTTTAACAAGAGCGATAATGCATTTTGCAGTATGAACCTCGAAAATATAAAATCAGTTTTGAGTATTGAATCCAATAAAGTTACACCGATTGTGGCCGATAAAGGAGACGCAAATGCTAGTGAAGAAGTAAGAAGTGTTCTCGAAAAAATCATAGGTAAGCAAACTAACGAGTAAAAAGAATTAGTAATATTAAAAATCAAACACTTTACCAGTAAACAAGCAATTATACTCAAGGTACATGGTATACATCTTGCTTAGGATAGGATTATTGGCCAAGCATACTGAGTTTCAGTCAAATAAATGTATGTGGCCCATTTTTTAATAGAAGATAGAATAATAAGAGTGTTTTATAAGGTGTGTATACTTGTATCCTCAAAAATAATATCTAAATCTCCGGTTTTGTTGATAACAGTTTTAAGGCTAAAAAAACAATAGGCTTTTGAGGCTTTTCAACAACAATATTTAGTTATCCTTGGGGTCTAGAAAGTGAGTACCTCCGGTCTGTTTAAAAAAATAATCATTTATTTATTTTTAATGTTTGTGTAAGTAATTTTGGTCTCATAAATGATTTGGTTTTTATTTTCGTTGTCAATTTTAAAAGTAGGTATTTTGTTATAAATTTCTTACTGAGACTTTTTGTTC